ACAGAGCAAAACCCTGTCTCTAAAAAATAAGATACGCTATGGCTCTCCCCACAACTGCTCATTCTCTGACATTTTTTTTCCTAACGGAGTCTCACGTTTCGCTGTCGCCCAGGCTGGAGTGCGATGGCGTGATCTCGGCTCAGTGCAGTCTCTGCCTTCCGGTTCAAGTGATTCTCCTGCCTCAGGCTCCCGAGTAGGACTACAGGAGCACCACCACGCCCAGATGATTTTTTATATTTTTAGTAGAGACGGGGTTTCACCGTGTTAGCCAGGATGGTCTCGATATCCTGACCTCTCCATCTGCCCGCCTGGGCCTCCCAAAGTGCTGGGATTACAGGCGTGAGCCACCGCGCCCGGCCTCATTCCTTGGTATCTCGGGGCTCCCACTGTCCCGCTGAAGACCGGCTGCTTTCCTTCCGATTTTGGTGAGTCCTCCCTCCGGGCCCGCGTGGTGCCCGGCCGCCCCCTCCCTCCGCTTCGCCCCCGCCCGCCGCCCGTTCCGCACGCGCATGTTGGCACCAAGCGGTTGGTTCTCGGAGTCCGTGTCCACCGGGACGGGTCTGAAACCGCCCTGTACCTCGGCTTCCTCACTGAAGCGATGGCAGCAGCCTTCTCGAGAGGGGGGTAAGGTCGAAAGACTGCAAGTGGGAAGTGCTAGGTGCACGGTGGGCGCGAGCTGTGATCGGAGCGTGGTTACGACTTGGAGGACAGTGCGCGGCGAGACGTCCTAGGTCAGGAACGGCCGGGCCCAGGGTCCTGAGAACAGCTCCGGGCCGAGGAGCGTCCGCAGGGACGCTCGGGGCTGGGTCCCTTCCTTCCTCCGCCGCCGCGCGCCGCCGGCGACCCCTCTGCGCCCGCGCCCTCCTGCCCGCAGATTCCGCCGGAGGGCTCGTAGCGACGCACCGGGAAAGAACGGAAGTGCCGGAGCACAGAGTGCTCTGAGCCGCCTAGAGCGGACTCACGAAACCTGCACTTGATTGATTGGTGAGCTGAAGGGCAGGGCGGAGGTTCAGCTGAGGCATTTCCGATCCCTTGCGTTTGGGTTTCTGGGGCACCGGGTTTAGCGTTTTTGCTCCTTCCCTTCCCGCGGTGGAGCTGAGTGAGTCCCGGGCTCCAAAGCGGCGCTGGGGCGGGCGGGGACGGTGCCGGGCTCGGGGCATGACGGACGCGCGCCGAGGGCGGCCGCGGGGTGCTGACGGAGGGGCGGCGGGGCGCCCTCCCGAGCAGCGCCGAGGCGGGGAAGCCGGGCGGATAGAAAGCGCCTCGCCGAGGAACGGAGCTTGGACGCGTCAGGGGACGAAGTCAGCGGCGCTTCTCGTTTCCGGGAGAGAGGAAGGCGCCTTTCCCTGAGCGAGATGGGCCGAGGAGAGGGGAGAGCCGCGGCGTGCGGAGGGGAGGCGAGGGGACGGCGGGGACGGCGCCGGGACGGGCCCGGCCCTCGGTCGTCGGCGGGCGCGCGGTCAGTGCCGGCTGACGGTTAGGACAGTCGGGACTTAGTCCTGTTTGCAGTTCGCGGATCCTGTGCCGAGCGCTGCGCACATGTTCGCGTTTGGCTCTCACAATAGTCCCTTCAGGTGAGGGGCGGTGTCGGTCTCCGCGGTCTGGGGAAAGCTCAGGTCGCTTCCCGGACACCGCTGCGCGAGTCAGTGGCGGGTCCCGGGTTAGCGCTCGGTCCCGTTCGAGTCTGGAGCCCGCGCGCCCCGCAGCGCTGCTGCCCGAGTCTGGGAGTGGAGGCGGCGCACACCGGGGGCGCCGCTGGGACGCACGAAGGCCGCGCGCATCGGGCCCGTCGGAGGCCGGGAAGGCGGAGCGCACCGGGGGCGCCGCTGGGACGCACGAAGGCCGCGCGCATCGGGCCCGTCGGAGGCAGGCGGAGCGCACCGGGGGCGCCGCTGGGACGCACGAAGGCCGCGCGCATCGGGCCGTCGGAGGCCGGGAAGGCGGAGCGCACCGGGGGCGCCGCTGGGACGCACGAAGGCCGCGCGCATCGGGCCCGTCGGAGGCCGGGAAGGCGGAGCGCACCGGGGGCGCCGCTGGGGCGCACGAAGGCCGCGCGCATCGGCCCGTCGGAGGCCGGGAAGGCGGAGCGCACCGGGGGCGCCGCTGGGACGCACGAAGGCCGCGCGCATCGGGCCCGTCGGAGGCCGGGAAGGCGGAGCGCACCGGGGGCGCCGCTGGGGCGCACGAAGGCCGCGCGCATCGGGCCCGTCGGAGGCCGGGAAGGCGGAGCGCACCGGGGGCGCCGCTGGGACTCACGAAGGCCGCGCGCATCGGGCCCGTCGGAGGCCGGGAAGGCGGAGCGCACCGGGGGCGCCGCTGGGGCGCACGAAGGCCGCGCGCATCGGGCCCGTCGGAGGCCGGGAAGGCGGAGCGCACCGGGGGCGCCGCTGGGACGCACGAAGGCCGCGCGCATCGGGCCGTCGGAGGCCGGGAAGGCGGAGCGCACCGGGGGCGCCGCTGGGACGCACGAAGGCCGCGCGCATCGGGCCGTCGGAGGCCGGGAAGGCGGAGCGCACCGGGGGCGCCGCTGGGACGCACGAAGGCCGCGCGCATCGGGCCCGTCGGAGGCCGGGAAGGCGGAGCGCACCGGGGCGCCGCTGGGACTCACGAAGGCCGCGCGCATCGGGCCGTCGGAGGCCGGGAAGGCGGAGCGCACCGGGGGCGCCGCTGGGGCGCACGAAGGCCGCGCGCATCGGGCCCGTCGGAGGCCGGGAAGGCGGAGCACACCGGGGGCGCCGCTGGGACGCACGAAGGCCGCGCGCATCGGGCCGTCGGAGGCCGGGAAGGCGGAGCGCACCGGGGGGCGCCGCTGGGACGCACGAAGGCCGCGCGCATCGGGCCGTCGGAGGCCGGGAAGGCGGAGCGCACCGGGGCGCCGCTGGGACGCACGAAGGCCGCGCGAATCGGGCCCGTCGGAGGCCGGGAAGGCGGAGCACACCGGGGGCGCCGCTGGGACTCACGAAGGCCGCGCGCATCGGGCCGTCGGAGGCCGGGAGGCGGAGCGCACCGGGGGCGCCGCTGGGGCGCACGAAGGCCGCGCGCATCGGGCCCGTCGGAGGCCGGGAAGGCGGAGCACACCGGGGCGCCGCTGGGACGCACGAAGGCCGCGCGCATCGGGCCGTCGGAGGCCGGGAAGGCGGAGCGCACCGGGGGCGCCGCTGGGACGCACGAAGGCCGCGCGCATCGGGCCGTCGGAGGCAGGCCGCGTCTGGGGCCGGGAAGGCGGCCGCTGGCCCCGGTGCGCCTCCGCGGGAGACTGCGAAGACATCAGTAAGCTTGGGTTCAGCGCCCAGCCGGGACATCTGGCTAACGGAGGCTTAAATGATGAAGACGAGGCAGACAGCGCTGGTTCCAGAGTTCCTTATGAAATGCCAGGGCTCTAGAACGTGTCTGCAAGGTTCTCTAGGCTTTCCCTTGCGGCCGCTCCAGACGGGGGTGTTTCCCCTTCCTTCCTTTCAGATGCTTCTTGGCAAACTTCTCTTAACATCTTGGTGACGAGAACTGGGCCTTGCGGTCACCAGGGCTGAGGAAAAAGGGCACGTTTCCTCCTGAACTAAACTAAGGAATTCGTTGATCTGCAGAGGGCTGTGCGGAGGTTTATGCGGAGGACAAATGGGAAGGCTTTTCTGAGAGTGACACATGTTGGTGCTGCAATAAAACCAGATCTGATTTAGATGTCAGCAGTGTACTGACAAGCCAGCCTAACCTCTCTCCTGAATTTTCAGCTTGTATTTCCAAATGCCCTAATTTCCCATTTATACATCTAATACTTATCTTCAACTTTACATATACAAGACAACTTTTACATTTAATACTTCTGCAGTCTTAACTCTTGAGCATATGGAAATTTTACCATTTCAGTTGCTCAGGCCAAAAATATTGGTGTCTCATCCTACATGAAATTACTAGGCAAATGCTATTGATTGTACCTTTGAAATGTATCCATAATCTGACTGCTTTTTGTCACTTCTGCCACCACCAGTCTGGTCCAAGACATTCATCTCTAGCTAGATTGTTGCTAGAACCTTCTGACTGGTTTCCTGTTTTTGCTCCTCACCCCCACCCCATAGTCTGTTCAAAGCACCCTCAAAGTAGCAACTGTAGAGACCACATCTGAGGTCATAGCACTGTACTCAGACCTTCCAGGCACTTCCCATCCATTCAGAATAAAAGCCATACATAGTCCTGTGGCATACAAGGTACCCACCCCAGAGGGTATCCACCCCTTTCACCCTCCCCTACTCTGTTTCAGCCCCCCTGGCTTCCTTGCCCTTCCTGGAACACATCAGGTGTGCTTGCACCTCAGAACCTTTGCACTTACGCTTCCTCTGCCTGGGATGTCCCTCCCTGATACCCACGCGGTGCCTGCCCTCATTCCACCCAGATCTCTGATTTGTTGTTACTTTATCAGAGGTGTCTTCCCTGGCCATCCTCTGTAAAATATCTTCTGCTACCGGTTGCTACCTTCATGCTGCTTCATTCATTCTTTCTATCCTTTCTTGTCACCTGACACCACCTGGGTGTTGTGTTTGTGGGTCACACATATGTGTCAACTTCTCTATTTGCTCATTCACTGCCTTAGCGCAAGAGCCTGGTCTGCTGTTCTCAGCGGTTTGCTCTCTGCTCAGGACCTTATCTATGGACCTGGGAAATGCAGTCCATTGTCTCTCCTGGCCAAGTCCACTGCCAGGGTCCTGGCTTTCGCGTGGTGGCCTCGAGATGCTGTCATACCACGGGCCCCAGAAAGGCCTCTCTTGAGACATGGAGAGGCATGGCAGGGAAGTGGGGAGGGGATATGTTCTCAGGAGCCACTGGCTGCTTAGTTCATCCACCTTTCCTGGGGTGTTCAGGCAACTCACAATTGGGTCTCTGCTACCACAGAAGGTCTGGGCCTAGAAGTCTCAGAGCAGCTGTGGGGAGCAGAAGGTTGTTCAGGCTTCATCACCCTCTTCTCCCTGTGGCTCTGCCCACCACCTCAGGACAAGCTTGGAGATCTAGTGATGGCTGTCAAACAGCTCCTTCCTGGTGGGCTCCAGGTGAATGGTACTCCTGGAGACTCGTCCATGTGACCTCAGCCTTTTCTCTGCAGGAGTCTCTCTATGAGGGGCTAGTCCCAGAGGGTAGAGAGCTCCCTGTCTCCACCGATGTCCTCAGTTCCTGAATTGAAGTCCCTGAACCATGCTTCTTACCGTGTTTTCCTGTCCCTGGATCAGGTACAGTAGAGGTCAGGATTGGGGCACACCAAGATGAGCCAATATAGTGTCTGCCTTAAAGAGCTAACTTTAGTGAGGAAGACAGGTACATGTTCCCAGAGGAATTTCACGAGTCCTGAGCCTAGTGTCTTCTCCCTCCAGATCCTGACCTGAGGGCTGCGGCAAGATCTTGTCATTCCACATCATGGTTTCCTTTGAGGACGTGGCCGTGCTCCTCTCCCAGGAGGAGTGGGACTGTCTGATCCCTGCTCAGAGGGGCCTCTACAGGGATGTGATGCTGGAGACCTATGGGAACCTGGTGTCACTAGGTAAGTTCCCTCCCTGGGGCTCAGCTCCTGGGCTTCCTGCTCAGACAACCTTGAGGCTCAAGCTTGGGGCTCAAAGGCTCCTCATTCCCTGTGCCCAAAGACCAGACATCTTGACCCTGGTACCATGCAGGTCTGGTCTGCACAGGTGGTACTGGGACTCTCCCTGATTTGTTTTTGTTTTTGATAAGCAGTGTCTCACTCTGTTGCCCATGCTGGAGTGTAGTGGCGGGATCATAGCTCACTGTAACCTTGACGTCTGTGGTTGAAGAGATCCTCCCACCTCAGCCTTTCAAGTACCTAGGACTACAGTGGTGGGCCACCATGCCTGTCTTATTTTATTTTTTAAAGACAGAGTCTCTCTATGTTTCCCAGGTTGATCTCGAACTCCTGGCCTCAAGGAATCTTCCTGCTTTGGCCTCCCAAAGTTTTGGAATTCTGGGCATGAGACCACGCCTGGTCAACCCTCCCTGATTTATGGAAGGAGAATATTATTTACCGTACACCTAGTACATTTCTATCCCCTTGCATAGAGATAAATGCATTAAATGTTAATATAAATTATAACATAAATTATAAATAATTTATAATTATATATTTATAACTTGTAAATTAGTTATAAATTAAAAATAATCTTTATGCATCTTGAAGGTCGGTGGTAGGATACACAGTTTATAAATGAACCTGAGGCTAACAAATACTGTTAATTTTTTTTTTTTTTTTTTTCTTTTGAGATGGAGTTTCGCTCTTGTTACCCAAGCTGGAGTGCAATGGCACGATCTTGGCTCACCGCAACCTCCGCCTCCTGGGCTCAGGCAATTCTCCTGCCTCAGCCTCCTAAGTAGCTGGGATTACAGGCACACGCCACCATGCCCAGCTAATTTTTTGTATTTTTAGTAGAGACGGGGTTTCACCATGTTGACCAGGATGGTCTCGATCTTTTGACCTCATGATCCACCCGCCTCGGCCTCCCAAAGTGCTGGGATTACAGGCTTGAGCCACCGCGCCTGGCAATACTGTCACTTTCTTATGTTTACACAGCCTTTTGGTGGCAGATCTGGGATTTGGATCTATTCAGTCTCAGAGCCCTGCTTTCCTTTCACTGGAATGTGCTCTTCCCTTTAGCCCTTCTGCAGGGCACCAACACCGCCTACTGTGAGTCCTCTCCCATGATGTGTTCAGGCCCCAGCTCTGTCCTATCTATGCCCCTCATCCCCCGAAAAGCTGGTTCTGAACTTTCTTCAGCTCAGGCAGTGGCCTGTGTCTTTCTCCACAGTTAGAGACCAGGTAGCAGGGAAGGTCACTACTAGCACAGAGACTCGGACCGCAGGCACAACTTGCCCTCTACCTGCGATGAATTTTCAGGTCTTGCTTCCCTTTTCTGGAGCAGGACTTCAAGCTTCCAAACCTGATATTATCTCCAGGCTGGAGGAGGGGGATGAACCATGGACCCTACACACCGTGAGAACGCAGGGGAGCTGGAGCTGGAGGCACAAGAGAGAAGGTGAGTCTGTCCCCACTCTCTGCTTCTGTGATAGGTGCTGCAGCTTTACTCACAAATCTCTTCTTTGTAAGCTCCAGACAAATTTCTTGTTATCCTCAGGGCTTTGCTTTCCTCCATTTTTTTTCTATCAAAATTTTTCTCTTTTCTTGCTGTAACTTGCTTCTGTTGTCTGTCCGTCAGTAGGTTTGTGTTTTATTTATCCTAGAAAATGTTCTTTCAGCCATTAAAAAAGAGCTCAGGTGTCCTTCCCTGGCAGCTGGCTCCCAGTCCCTTCATTTCCATGTCACCCACTCCTTGGGCTGTTTGGGAAAAACGCTAACTACATTTTTCCTCTTCTCTGACACCACAACAACAATCAACAAAGATTTCGTGACCAAATGCATGGAGAGTTTTTCCCATGCACCAAGCAGCTGTAATTCAGTTCAACTCTGGTGCTCTCTTCTTGGAGATAGCCTCAAATTCCACAGGCTGAGGGCTCAGTCTCTGAGACTCCCCTCAAGACACTAGTCGTAAATCCAGGCTTTCCAAACTTCTGACCAACTGGATTCAAGTTGGGGTTCCCATGACCCTCAATTTGGGTTCTATTAATTTGCTGGAGCAGTTCACAAAACTCAGGGAGGCACTTAGATTTACCACTTTAGGCTGGGTGTGGTGGCTCATGCTTGTAATCCCAGCACTTTGTGAGGCCAAGGTAGGCAGATCACTTGAGGTCAGGAGTTTGAGACCAGCCTGGCCAATATGGTGAAACCCTGTCTCTACCGAAAAATACGAAAATTAGCCAGGCATGGTGGTGTGCATTTGTAGTCCTAACTACTTGGGAGGGTGAGGCATGAGAATCATTTGAACACAGGAGGCAGAGGTTGCAATGAGCTGAGATAACGCCACTGCTCTCCAGCCTGGGTAACAGAGTGAGACCATGTCTCAGAAAAAACATTTACTAATTTATTATAAAGGATAAAGACAAAGAAATGTGTAGGATGAGGCATGAGGGAAGGGGTGTGGAGCTTTCATGCCCTCACTGGGTGCATCACCCTATAGAAACCTATGCACTTAGCTATCAGCTCTCTGAACCCTGTCCTCTTAGGTTTCTATAGAGGCCTTATTATGTTGGTATGATTGATTAAACCATTGGTCATGGTGATCAACTTAATCTTCAGCTCTGGTCCCCTTCTGTGAGTTTGGGACGTTAGGGCTGAGAATCCCAACCCTCTATTCATGCCTTGGTCTTAACAGTGACCAGCTTCATCCTAAAACTGTAGTCAACATAAGCCTATGAAAAGATAGCAGTTTGGAGATTACAAGGAGTTTAGGGTTGTATGACAGGACATCGGGATGAAGACCAAATATATATTTTATAATATCTCACAGGGCTTGCTGGCCAGGTCTGCTATCGCTGCTTGGAGATACCAGTTGGAGAGATAGATGTTCTCTTCCAAGTTTCTCATTCCTCCTGTTATTCACTCAGAGCATCCCAGGCTGATTCTGGGTCTTGGGGAAACAGATGAACTAGAAAGGGTTTCTTCCTGTGTAGTGGGAGACCTGGGCATGTAAACACTAAGCAGAGCAGAGTCCTGGTGCTTTGTGCTGACACACAGCTAATGTCGGTCATTTTTGCTTGATGCAGGCCTGGCACTGTGATGTCACAATGAATTTATGTAATTTGCCAATATCTCTACATAATTGGTGCCCAGGAAATTGAGGCACAGAGAGGTTAAATTTACACAGCCAGCAAAGAACAGAACAGAGTTGGGTCCCTGGCAATTGGTCTCAGCCCCATATTTTTATTTATCTTCTTTATAGAAACAGCTTTATTGAGGTGTAATTAACATATAATATGTTAACAAGTATTTAAAGTATAGGATTTTAAATCTTCTGATATATGTATACACATGTGAAACCATTGCCACATTCTAGAGCAAACATATCCATCACCCCCAAGAGTTTTCTCCTTCTTCATAATCTTTCACTCCTTCCCACCTTTCTCACTCCTTCCCACTTCTATCTTGAAGCAAGTACTGATTTGCTTTCTGTCACTATAAATTATATTTTCTAGAGTTTTATGTGAATGGAATCATTGAGCATGTATTCTTTTTGGTCTGGCTTCTTATACTCAACATACTCAACATAATTGTTTTGAGATATGTTTATGTTGTATATCAATAATTCATTGCTTTTTATTTCTGAACAATATTCTATTGTTTGAATATACTACAATTTGTTTATTCATACTCTGTTAACAGACATTTGAGTTGTTTTTGTTTTTTGGTTAATACACATAAAGCTGCTGTGAACATTGCCTTCCACTTATCTTGTACCTCCCTAAGATGTTGTGAGTTGTCAAGAATGGTTACTAGTCTTGCCCTTGACCCCCAGGTGCAGTCATTTGTCCAGCATTAAGGCCAGGATAGGTCTCACAAGATCTGATGGTTTGTTAAGGGGAAACTCATTTCACTTGATTCTCATTCTGTCTCTTGCTTGCTGCAATGTAAGACATGCCTTTCGCTTTCCACCATGATTGTGAGACCTCCCCAGCCATGTTGCTATGGCTGGTCTTGAACTCCTGGACTCAGGCCATCCATAGGCCACCCACCTGCCTCAGCTTTCCAAAGTGCTGGGATTACAGGTTTGAGCCACATGCCTGGCTGATTTGTTTTGTTTTTGTATTTAGAGATGAGGTCTTGCTCTATTGCCCAGGCTGGCCTCTAACTCCTGGTTGCAAGCATCCTCTTGCCTCAGTCTCTCAAGTGGCTGGGGCTATAGATGTGTGCCACCACACCCAGCTCTCATTTTTAGTTCCCTGCCCCTCCCCTCCCTTCCCTTCCCTTGTCTTGTGGTTTCTCATTTTGTTCACATTTATTTTGTCTCCTGCCTGGCAAAATAACACCTATTAAAACAATCCTTTAGACTTTAGTTCAGAGATGACCTTGAGGACACAACCCGTCAGATAACCCAGAAATTTTTCTCCCCAGATTCAGAATGTTTATCTTCTAGGATACTGTTTGTAGGTTTCTAGAGTAAATTGTGAAGTTTGCTTTTTTCCTTTCATACTATGAATGAAAATATCAATCCCTCTGTAGTAGTAGTTCCATGAGTAGTTCATGGAAATCTATTAAGACTACCTAGCCCTATTTTATTTTATTTTATTTTTTGAGAACACTGTCACCCAGGTTAGAGTACAGTGGCACAGTCTCGACTCAGTGCAACCTCTACCTCCTGGATTCAAGCTGTTCTCCTGCCTCAGCCTCCCAAGTAGCTGGGATTAGAAGCACCCTACCACCATGCCCAACTAATATTTGTATTTTTAGTAGAGATGTGATTTTGCCATGTTGGCCATGCTGTTCTTGAACTCCTGACCTCAGGTGATCCGCCCATCTTGGCCTCCCAAAGGGCTGGGATTACAAGGGTCAGCCACCATGCCCAGCCATAATTAGCCCAATTTTAGACCTTATCTGGTTAGTACTTTTAGCTCAGTCTCCCTGTCTGAGCAGTGCAGTCTCAAGTAGCATCCCATTATAGCTAATGACAACTATTTGCAAAAGGAAGATTCCATCGTTATTTTATGGTATCTTAACACGAGGCTGCCCTCTTACTCTTCTGACCTCAGTTATCCATTCCCACAGTCTTTGTATCCATGTGACTTAGTGGTTTTTGTTTGTTTGTTTCATTGGTTGCTTTTATTTATTTTTATTTATTTTTTTTTGAGACAGAGTTTCACTCTTGTTACCCAGGCTGGAGTGCAATGGCGCGATCTCGGCTCACCGCAACCTCCGCCTCCTGGGTTCAGGCAATTCTCCTGCCTCAGCCTCCTGAGTAGCTGGGATCACAGGCACGCGCCACCACGCCCAGCTAATTTTTTTGTATTTTTAGTAGGGACGGGGTTTCACCGTGTTGACCAGGATGGTCTCGATCTCTTGACCTCGTGATCCACCCGCCTCAGCCTCCCAAAGTGCTGGGATTACAGGCTTGAGCCACCGCGCCCAGCCCATTGGTTGCTTTTAAATGTGTTTTTTTTTTTAAAATATAAGCTTCCTTTCTTTGGGTCTCAGAATTCAATTTTGTGGTTTTCACAAAATTTTTTGATACTTTTGTTCATTGGAAATGTGTGATGTGGGACTGTTGTGTATGCTTGACCTTTTTGCCTTGTGCTGCCCCAGCTGTTGCCTGAGTAGGTTGCTGCTTTTTTCTGTTTTTGTTTTTGTTTTTGTTTTTGTTTGTTCTGTAAGTTGTCCAGATCGAATGGTGTTTTTTTCTATCTATTGCGCTTATGTACACCTCATTCTTTATGAGTCATTTATTATTTATTTTGAACAAATATTTGAATATTCTATGTGTAAGCCATAAGAAGATACCTTGTTGATGAATTATGTAGCAATGATGTGAATAGTGGAGGCAGCCTCTATTTCCTCCTTCCTGATAACACTCCTCAAATCCTTTTTCAGATCTTGCTTTTCCTATGCCATGTGTTCCTGGTCAGCCTAGTTGCAGATTTAAGCCTTTTACCTTGGGCATATTACCTTCCTTCTTCCTTTCCACACCAGTGTTCATTGCTTTACCAGCATGCTTCTCTTTTTCTCTTCCCAATGGGGTCATATATGTTGCTTTTTAAAATTTGCATTCTCAGTGATCTGCCCATCTCATTTTCACATTTATTTTTTGTCTCCTTCCAGTATTATCCTGGAAAATATTTGATGTAAATATTCCTGCTTATTCTCGAATTCTTTCTCCCATAGTAAAATGTGAGCGAACTCACTTCTTTTTCCCCATTCTTTCAGGCTATGATTCTAGGATTGATAAAAAGAACTGATTCCAAAGCATGACATTTCTGAAGAAATGGAATCCCAGACAGCAAAATCAAAAGATCATGTAAGGAATAATTTTAAGGAAGCTAAAGAGATTAGTAAAACTCAGGGAAAGTTAGAGAACTGGTGGAGAAAATATGCAGTAGAAGGAATTAAGAACTCCTTTTCGCAGAAGAGCAGTTTCAGAGCAATTGTTATGAGGTGTGTGAAAACCCTCTCTGGAGAGAATGTCCAGAAATTCAATACTTTTGGAGAAGATTGCATTACAGACTCAAATCTTGCCAAACATCTTAGAGTGTCTAGAGAGGAGAGTCTCTATCCAAATGTGTCAAGTGTGGAAAACTTGCAACATGAGGAGCTCATTAACCTCCAGAGTTTCCAGTTAGGGGAAAGAGCCTGTCAGACAGATGTGTTAGTGAAAGTACCCAGACAGAGTTCAGTTCTTAGTGAGAATCAGAGGATGAATAATCCGGAGAGACCCTTTGAGTGTACCAGATGTGAAACAACTTTCCATCAGAACAGAGCTTTTAACCAGCACCAGAGAATTCATAGTGGAGAGAAGCCCTATGAGTGCAATGAATGTGGAAAAGCTTTCAGTAGGCCCTCTGTCTTCAGTAAACATCAGAGAATCCACACTGGTAGGAAACCCTACATATGTAAGGATTGTGGCAAATCTTTCAGTGCGCACTCATACTTTATTCAGCATTGTAAAATTCACACTGGAGAAAAAGCATATGAGTGTATTAAATGTAGGAAAGCTTTTAGTACACATTTATCTTATATGCAACATCTAAAAATTCATACCGGAGAGAAACCTCATGAGTGTAATCAGTGTGGGAAAGCCTTTAGTCATAGCTCTAATCTGATCCATCATCAGAGAATTCATAGTGGAGAAAAGCCTTACCAGTGCAAAGAATGTGGGAAAGCCTTCAACAGACAATCGCACCTTACTCAGCATCAGAGAATTCATTCTGGAGAGAAGCCTTATGACTGTAATGAGTGTGGCAAAGCCTTCAGTGCACAATTATCTCTTATTCAGCATCAGAGAATTCATACAGGAGAAAAGTCCTATGAATGTAATGAATGTGGAAAATCCTTTAGCCTGAACCGAACTCTAACTGTCCATCAGAGAATTCACACTGGAGAGAAACCTTATAGGTGCAATGAATGTGGAAAATCCTTTAGTCAGCGCTCACAAGTTACTCAGCATAAGAGAATTCATACCGGCGAGAAGCCTTATATCTGTAATGAGTGTGGAAAATCATTTGGTGCTCACCTATCCCTTATCCAGCATCAGAGAATTCACACTGGAGAGAAACCTTATGGTTGTAGTGAGTGTGGGAAAACCTTTAGTCAAAAGGGACATCTTATTCAGCACCAGTGAATTCACACAGGAGAGAAACCCTATGAATGTAGTGAGTGTGGAAAAGCTTTCAGCCAGAGTTTTAATCTTATTCACCATCAAAGAACACACAATGGTGAGAAGCCCTATGAATGTAATGAATGTGATAAAGCCTTTAGTGTGCTTTCTTCCCTAGTTCAACACCAGAGAATACATAATGGAGAGAAACCCTATGAGTGTCACAAATGTGGGAAGGCCTTTAGCCAGGGGTCACACCTTATTCAGCATCAGAGGAGTCACACTGGTGAGAAACCCTATGAGTGTAATGAGTGTGGGAAAACCTTTGGACAGATATCCACCCTAATTAAGCATGAGAGAACCCACAATGGAGGGAAGCCCTATGAGTGCAGTGACTGTGGGAAAGCCTTCAGCCAGAGTGCACACCTTATTCGCCATTGAAGAATTCACAGTAGAGAGAATCCCTATGAGTGCAGTGACTGTAGGAAGGCCTTCAGTGTTCACTCCTCTCTCATTCAGCATCACAGAATTCATACTGGTGAGAAACCTGATGAATGTAGCGAGTGTGGCAAGGCATTCAGTCAGCATTCATAATTTATCCAACATCAGAGAATTCATACCAAAGAGAAACTCTACATGTGCAGTGAATGTGATAAATCCTTCAGTGCATGCTTATCCCTTATCCAACACAAGAGAATTCACACTGGAGAGAAACCCTGTGTATGCACCAAATGTGGAAAATCCTTCCGACAAAGCTCTCACCTTATTTGACATCAGAGAATTCACAGTGGGGAGCGACTTTATACATGAAATCAATGTGGAAAAATCTTCGGTCAGAGGATAACTCTTACTAGTCATGAGAAAATCCGTACAGTTCACATTAGAGAGCAAGCCTATGAATGTAGTAAGTGTGGGAACTCTAGTGCACAGTCGTCTTTTATTCAACACTGTACAGTTCACAGTGGAGATTAACTGATCAGTCTATAAATTACTTACAGTTATAGATTATACAAGAGTCATACTGGTGAGAAAAGAGTCACTATGGTTTTCCTTTTGGAGATTCAGTTCTTAAAGTATTTAACTCTCCCAGTGAGCTGCTAACTAAAGGCAGGCTGGTGAAGTATATAGTAATAATTCCATGATAACACACCTTCCCTCAGATTCAGAGGATGAGCCCCCTTCTTGAGTCCTGTAGATAGGTGAAACTTAATTATTTAGATGCTTTTCATAGCACCAGACCTTAAGGTGCAGTTAGGTATTTCATTTGACCACTTGCTCTTCATTCCTTTTTTATTCCCTTCCCCTTCCCCTTCCCCTTCCCTTCCCTCTTTCCCTCTTCCCGCCCCCCCCCCCAAACTTTCTTTCTCTTTATCATTTATTTCAACTTCAAGGAAAGTAGTTGAGATCCTTGCACTTTCAAGTGTGATGGAACCAGGCTGGGGTTTTCTTTGGCCTCAAGACGTTTTTATTCTGTTATGAGGAGTACGATACCTTAAGCTTCAAAAGTGTTATTTTTCAACATCAGGTAATTCACAGAGAACAGTGCCGAGACCGGCTCGGTTGTGGAAACCCCAACCCGGGTGGCACTGAAGAAATTAAGAAACAGACACAGAGAGAGAGAGCAAAAAGGTATGAGATGACAGGGATCCACAGAATTCCCAGCTGAGAGCCCCGAACAGAGTTTGACGCACACATTTATTTACAGCAAGCGATAATCATCATTTAACTAAAAGCATTCTTTGCAGGGAACAAAGTATTCTTTACTAGTGGCAAGACACAGGCTCTGGCATGTTTACTGCAGCTGGAACGTGTTGTTAAGGCATTGGTCGCTCATGCTATTGTTTGTGGTTCAGAAGCACTCTGAGCAGTCTTTCACCAAAGAGCAGGTCAGGTATTTCTTTCTCTCGCTCCAGTAAACCAACAACCACTAGCAATGTGCATCACTGTCATCATGAGGGTGTCATAGTGCTATAGATATCCTGTTTATGGCCAGTATCTTTAAGGCCTGTTTATGCCAGGCTTAGGGCCTGTTCCCAACAGAAGAGAAACATGATTATAAGCAAAAGTTTGTTAAGGTGAGTCTTATGTGTAGGTTAAAATAGTTGAGACCTTGCTAAAAAGTCAAATAACACTGTACTGCACCTCCAGGTTTCCAAGAGTTAAGACACTGCCAGCAAGGGACTTGCAGCCTCAATACATCCAGCTGATTGAAAATGGGAAATGATACAGTTTACTTAAACAGGATTTGGTAGATGGGTCTTCTCCATGTGTTTTTATGAAGAGAAATAAGGAAAATGCCCCAAAGTGGGAGCCTATGGCTTATGGCTTTGCTTAACCATCACAGATAGCTATGTTCCAGTGCAAGAACAGAGTTCATGTCTTTTCCTGAGGTGGCTGGAAACCTGAATCTCCTGAAATTAAGTCAAAACTCAGTATTAACTCACCCAGCTCTCTTGGCTGCAGGCTGAGCCGGGGACTTGGAGCTTTTTAGCTAGTTGTAACTTCCTCTAGAGAAGAACTTTTAAGAAGGATGAAAAAAGAAATTCAGTTTCCCCTAAGGTTGTCTGTTTTGAGGTTCATTAGGAGATGACAGAAGGGTTAGGAAGCTGTCTCAGTGTCTTTCTTGAGGCCTGTGATTAGAGAACCAAATCAGAAAATAATATATTTTTTTGTTTGATTCCTGTTTACATACAATGGAGGTGTTTACTTAACTAAGAACCTCAGTGTTTATTCAAATCCTGATTTAGTTTTTATGGCTAAAATATTCCAGATTAACCTTATCAGTTTGGAGTATGTTTTTTTTTTTTTTTTTTTTTTTTTTTTTTTTAAAGAGACGGAGATTGGCTCTTGTTACCTAGGCTGGAGTGCAATGGCGCGATCTTGGCTCACCGCAACCTCCGCCTCCTGGGTTCAGGCAATTCTCCTGCCTCACTCAGCCTCCCGAGTAGCTGGGATTACAGGCACGCGCCACCATGCCCAGCTAATTTTTTGTATTTTTAGTAGAGACGGGGTTTCACCATGTTGACCAGGATGGTCTTGATCTCTTGACCTCGTGATCCACCCGCCTCGGCCTCCCAAAGTGCTGGGATTACAGGCTTGAGCCACCGCGCCCGGCTGGAATATGTTTTTATATTCCATTAGATATTTCATCCAGATTATACTGAATTTTATTCCGGTTTTTAATGTTTTCTATTCAGATCAGAAATTTACCTAATTACTTGGCTCGGTGACGGCATTAATGTCGGTTGGGAGCTAGATGGTCTCTGATGTATTTGATGATTGGCATAGAGCAATCATACACTTGGTTGCTCCCTCCCTCCCCTCTGTCCCTCCCTTCCTTCCTTCCTTGCCTTTCCGTCTCTTTTCTTTTTTTCTTTCTCTCTGTCTTTCTTCTTTCCCTCTTTCTCTTTCTCTCTCTCCCTCCCCTTCCCCTTTCCCTTTCCCTTCCCTTCTTTTCTTTTTTCTTTTCTCTCTCTCTCTCTTTTCTTTTCCTTTTTTTAAATTTTCTTTCCACTCTGTGTTGCTCAGGGTGAAGTGCAGTGCTGCAATCATAGCTCACTGTAACCTCGAGCTCCTGGGCTCAAGCAGTTCCTCCTCAACTTACTGATTATCTAGAACTAGAGATGTGTACCACTGCACTGGCCTCTCATGACTTCTTAACCAATTACACTGAAATTGAGAGAACAACATTTTCTGTTTCTTAATGAAAAGCCATTTCTGGAGGAGTTTTATGCCTGTACCAGCAGAGGCTCAGCCTTCTGAGAATCTCACCATGATCCTTACTGGTGACACAGGCCTTTGTTACCTGAAGCATTCTCAAAACAAGGAGACTGACATTAAAAAGGACAATTGTGAGCTCTGCTTAATAAGCATCATAGATACCTTACAACTTGTTCTGAAGACTCCTTTATTCTTGCACTTCCCAGAGAGCTACTGTGTTTAGTCATGCTTACTGTCCTCACAAGAGAAAAGAGTAAGTGGCATGTTTACATGTCATCCTGGGATGTGGTGAGGGAAAGGGGTTTCTTCATAGTTCTCTCTCACCTCTGCTATGTAGTGAATAGATGGTGTCTCATACCTCGTATCTTTATGCGTCAGCGGTTTTCACCACAGGCTATGTTGGTTGTGATGGAAGAGAACTTTGGTGGCCATATTTTGAGTGTTGACATTATTTGCTACTCAGTGAACTAGCAGAGTTCACAGCTGTTCATGGTTTACTCTCCCTGACATGTGTTTATAGCCTGACTGGACTTGAGAGGCAGAGATATTGGGGATGTAGAGAAGGGCCCTGGCCTGTCTTCAAAATCTTATTTCAGCAGCTGTCCAAGACATCACAGCAGTGAGGCAGTAGATTGTGAGCACAACCAGGTTTATGTATGAGGGTTGGGAGTGGAACATTAACTGTAGTTAATTCAGGTGTCTGACTGTTGTCAGAATATCAGGTTACTAAGTAAAAATCCTAGAGAATTTGTGAAGCCTTTATTGTAAGGAGAAGGGACTCCCGAGGCAGTGAAGGCAGGTGCTGATGGTCACAAGAGCTTTTTCACCTTTTCCTCCATGTCTGTCTGTCCTGCAGCATTTCCATTGATGCATACTGTTGTGGACTCCTTAGGTTGACCTTGGCCTTGACCTCGGCCTTGACCTCCACCACTAGCTTTTGACCCAGAACTGAAGATGCACATCAGAAAGGGACAGATTTGGTCTTTCTGTTTTAAAAGGTATTCTACCTTAGTGCCTGCCAATTTGTTGTGCATGGTCCCGTGCTGCTAATCTTTCCCACCAGTCATGAAGGTTAATTTGTTTTATGTGTATATTCACAAACATTAAAATGTACTGGATTTTAATTATTGCCCATTTTCATATAGGGCGGGAGGCACTTTGCATTGTTGAGAATCTCTAAGATCTTTAAGACTAAAACCCGTGCCCCTAATTTCAATTTCTGAAGGCCTGACTCCAGGCAGCATGATTGAGTTGGATTTTTCTCTGCCACAAAACCTGCCAAGGCTTCTCCATCACCCAAAATATTCCCATGACCAACCCATATGGAAAGAGGGGCAAAGATCATTATTAATCACAGAAATGCAAAATAATATAAGATGTCATTTTGACCTCACTAGCTTGGCAAAAAGAAAACATGACAAAATGACACCAAAAATATTTAGCAAGTTCCTCTCATATGCTACTGATAGGAATGGAAATTGGTATGACACATTGGAAAATATTTTGCCATTATTTATACAGGTAAAAATTATGTAGCCCTGGCTACATGCACTGGCTTACGCCTATAATCCCAGCACTTTGGTACGCCGAGGCAGGCAGATTACCTGAAGTCAGGAATTCAAGACCAGCCTGGCCAACATGGTGAAACCCTGTCTCTACTAAAATACAAAAATTAGCTGGTATGGTGGTGGACGCCTGTAATCCCAGCTACTCAGGCGGCTGAGGCAGGAGAATCTCTTGAACCTGGGAGACAGAGGTTGTAGTGAGCTGAGATCATGCCTCTGCACTCCCACCAGCGTGAAAAAGTGAGACTTTGTCTCAAAAAAAAAAAATTGTGTAGCCCACACTCCTTCACATACATGTTGGGGATAATCTTGCATGGAAACTACAAGATGTGTTCCAAAAGGTTTATAGCAGCTGTTTGTGTAATAAATACATAAAAAAATAAAAGTCCAGTGTTTATGGAGAGGGGGAGAAAAGAAATTTGATTATAATAGAGCAGAAAACTTTGTCAAAATGTATTACTTACAGCTGCACACATTATTCTTGAAGCTGTCACTCAGCAAGGGAATGTGGATTGTCCTTAATACTCACCAACTTTGATTTCTTCCTGTAGTGAAACTCCAGAAGACCTGGGGAATGAGCGAAAAGTATGACCTGAGAGGGAGTGCCAAATAATTGGAAGATTTTTCCAGCTTACTGTTGGCAGAAGTATGGGTGATATGAAAGGAAGTAGATTCTAAGGCTGTTAG